TAATATAATAATACAATAATAGAATAACTAATACTAAATAATAATAATAAAATAATAATAACTAATAATAATAATAATAATAATAAATCATTCTATAACAATACTATCAAATCTAGGTAAGTTTTAACCACTCTAGTATGTTTAGGTTGCAAATAAATTAGATAAACAACAGTTAGTTTCTTTCTATAGTCTAAGCTTTACTTTTATAACAAATTTGTAATTGGAATAGATTTTGTAATTTATATTCAGAAAAGCTCCTATAGGCATCTTTAACAAATTAATAAAGATATAAGCAAAATTCTACCTTAACTTTAAAAAAAAAATATTATACATATTATTTAATAAAGTGATTTAATAAAGTGAACTTGGTTGGTATAAGTATTATAAAATTTATTTAATTTCAAATATATATAATATTCAATACTTTGTTTTTAAATATATACTTCAAATAAATATATATTATTGAATTATTTTATACAATATGTATTATTCATTATCGAATTTAAAACTTTAAAACTTAGCTATGAATGTTATAATTATTACATCAATTGTTATATATATTGTCATGATCCAGAATAGGATCATCATAATTTATTAAAAGATGATTACATAATTAATCAGTAGTATAGCATATATGTAGCATAATTAGCAGATATAAGGTATTTAGTGTAATTAGCAGATATAGGATATTTAGCGTAATTAGCAGATATAGGGTATTTAGTGTAATTAGTAGATATAATGTATGTAGCATAATTAATGTATATAGCGTAAATAGTACATATAGCATAGATAGTGTAATTAGTATATATAGCATATTAGAAAAAGTATATAAGTAATGCACTTTAAATGTAAGAACATAGAATAGAATAGGATGTACTAAAGAATACCCACCTTACACTCGCCAAATCCAATGCCTCTTTCAAGTGTTGTGATGTCCTATGTTATGCTAATGATGTATCGGCTACCCTATGAATAGGGAATTCTAGGGTAGTTCCATCTTGAATCGTTACAATATATATATTATTTGTTTTTTTTTATTTTTTGAACTATTATAAAAAAATGGATATGCAAAAATGTACAAGATGTAAAAAATTATATCTTTATACAAGTTTCTAGTAAAATTAAATATAAACCAAAAACTTGTTATTTTTGTTACTTAGAGTCTTCTATTCACTATAAACAGTCTTTTTAATTTGAATTAGTAATAGATTTTTTATTATTAAAAGAAATATCAGATAAGCTTTATAAACAAATTTTACAAATTATACAAATGAATATTTAAAGAATAAATCTGCCAAAATCAATTTTAAATATAATATTTTGCTTAATATAAATAAAAATAATCTAAAAAAATTATCTAAAATAATTGCTGAATTATTAGATAATCTGAATAGTTATTATCATATTTTTAAGAATTATTATTTTTCAACAAAAGCCAATATTTTTATAATTCAATATAATTTTTCTCAATATCAATCAATTGCTAAAAAGTCTAGAAAGCACAAATGTATTGAAAAAAGCTTAGATTTCAATTAATAGATTTGACTGTATTCAACAAATAAAATTGTTCTTAATATAAATTAAAACTTGCATCAATTCATCTTTAACATTTAATATTGCACAAATGTTTAAAATAATTTAGTATTAATGCAGTCAGGAGTTTTTCAAAATTTGAAGATTATTTTTACAATTATGCATTAGCATATGATTAGTGCTTATTAATCATAATTAGTGCTTTGTATCCTTTTTTATAAAAAAATTCATAACCCTTTGTCAATTTAGTACCACAATAAAGGTTAAGTTTAGCTGTTAAAATACATATTTTTTAATATTTACTTTTAGAATCTGTAAGAATTTCAAAGCTATAACAAATTAGTTTTCCTTAAATTTAAGTTTGAATTATACATATTTTATAGATTATTCCAGTATTCATCAATGAATTCAAAAGTAAAAGCCAAAATGTTGCTCTGTATCTTTACTTTTTTGCTAAAAAGTATCTGAAAAGTAGTTTGCTAAACTATATTAAATATATAAAATTGAAGAAAGGCAATAGTAATAAAATGCATCAACTAATTTAGCAACTAAAAAACTAACAGAATTGGCTAAGTATTTTTCTAAATTAACTTTATTTGTTGAATCTCTTAAAAGTTATTCTTTATATAAATGGCATTATAAACATATAGTTGCTAAACCTTCTTTTATTAAACAATTGACAAATAAATTAGGTTCTTTAAATTTAATAAGAGCACAAGAAAAAGATTAAAACTTTCTAATGAAACTAAAAAGAACTTTGCTAATTTTGGTGCACAAGTTGAACTAACTTCTATCAACTTTGGAGTTCAAGTATCTTTGCCAACTATTGACTTTAAAGTTCAAGTATTATTGCTAGCTGTTGACTTTAAAGTTCAAGTATTTTTGTCAGTTGTTAACTTTGAAGTTCAAGTATCTTTATCAGATTCAACATATGAACTTCTTTTAAAGCAAATTAGTAAGTTAGAAAGTGCTAATAGACAATTGTTAGCTAAAAATAAAGCATTAAAAAAAATTATATGAAAGATTTACTAACCAACATGATCATATTAAGTCTATTATAGAAATTGCTAAAAAAAAATAAAATAAATTGTGTGAAGATATAACAGATTTGGTAAAAAATAAGAAGTGCTTTCTTGAAAGAGTTTTCTGGAATATTCTTCTTTTAAATAACTTGCAGAACAAAATCTTGTTGTTGAAAGTTTATAGAAACTCTTACTTATAATAAAAATGAACAACAACAATATAGAGAAAAACATTGTAAATATGCTGTAGCTATTGATGCTATATATGGATCAAGGTAATTAAAATATGTTTTTGCAATCAATTTGGCTATTTTAGCAATTAAATATTCATTAGCAAAGTTAAAAATAATTGTGAATATTGACAATCATATTATTAGTTCTAGTAGTAATTCGAAATTTACTAACTAATTAGAAAATTTAGCTATAGAACAGCCACTAGTTTTTAAAAATCTTCTGTTTTTAGCTTTTGACAATAAGCAAAAAGGCCAAAAAAATTATTTGGGACATAAATATAATACAGTTATATTCTATATTATTATAAGTTTTGTTGCTTTTAATTATGATCAAAGCAACAACATTCAAATCACAAATCCTTGGCTATGTTCCAAACCTATTCAAAACCAATTTTGACAAATTGTTTTACTTAATATTAAATATAAAAAATGAAATTTATAAAAAAATTATTGTCTATCTTATAGTCATTTTGAAAATACTTCTTTTGAAAAAAATCAGAAAACAAATGTAATTAATAATTTGGTAACCTCTCAAAGCCAAATAAAAAGTAAAAAAATATACTTTTTATTAAGCCTCTAATATTAATAATAAGAAGCAGATTTGTTTTAACTATCATAATAAATTACCTATGATTAGTGAAATTAATCAATTTAATATAAAATCTAATATTACAAATATTACTAACAAGTTTCTAATTGTTTGTTTTTATAGGTTTAAAGAATTAGATATACAAGAAAAAGTTTTAGAGGTTTATATGCTGCAAATATTTGTTCTTAATCTGATAAAAATTAATCCCAATTTGATCATTAGTGTTTAAAAAGTTCTTAAGCATATCGAAAAATTATCTGAAATTAAAGATAATAGATATAAATAGATCATAGTTATATGTAATAGAGTATTGTACCATTATATACTAAAAATGAAAAAGGATTTTTTTTGACTTATATTAATTCCAGATGCCTTTTATGAAGAAATAAATATTGTAAAGTCTTTTGTCAATTTGAATTAAGATATTAATATGAAAGGTTTTGCTTATTGTTAAATGTATTGAACTGTAAATCAACTTTAGTTCTTCAAAAAATATTCAAACAATCACAAATCATAGAATTTAGTATATACTATATATAGGCATATGCTGGCATCTAAATTGATATAGCCATATGTCATATATAAAGATAATTCTTCTGTTAAGAATTATTTGAAATAGGTTTAAGAACAAATTGATTATATATATAAATTAAAGTATAAACAGATTTTTCTTTATTTGCAAGCAATTATTAACTTTATATTGGAGTTCATTTTAATAACTCTTCATTAAAACTTGTAGCTAGAAGAATGTTTGCACTTATATGGTCTACTCAGTAATATTCAATTTATTGATTAATTGAAATTTATAATAAAGAGCAAATGGTACAATTAAAGCCTGAAGTTTTTAATTTAATTTAAAAAAAAATAGTAACCATATGATTTAAACTTTAGAATTAACATTATGATTATAATGCAATTTTTGAAGAAATTAATAGGGCACTCAAATTATTAATTTCTTCAATACTTTTACAATAATATTGAAAAATTGCAACAAATAATTGTACTAAGTTTTTAAAATTAAATGCTAATCTTTTTAAGCTAATAAGATATTTTGAAAGTAAAATCCAAGAACTTATACATGTTCTAGTTTTACTACTGAATTAAGTCATTATTAGGCTCAAATAAGAAAAACCTAATTTATAAATTTAAAAGCTAATAATCATGTATTTCATAATATAAATAATAAATAGAAAATAAGTAAAGAAATAAAATAATTTAATAAAATTGCAAATATGAAGAAAATTGAAGTTATTAAAACTAAACTAATTAATAAAATAGCATTAGATATTTGATATCCAATACTTATAACATGTGAAGAAGCAGATCTTCAAAAGACTAAAAGCTATTTAACAATATCACAACTTTTATTTATTATTAACTTTTTAATTCTATCTTTAGGTAATTTTGATTGTTTACATTTTTAAGATATATTAAATAAATTCTGTAATAATTTAATAAATATTTTTTAAAAAATTAGAAGTGTAATAGCCAAAAATATTAATAGTGATGAATAAAATAGACAAAGTGTTTTGATTAATTAATATTTAGAATTGTAATTTATTTATATTTGTAATAAAATTTAAATAAAAATTTTTTTTAGTAAATTAATAAATTATTTTTATTAATAAAACATTTTATTTATTAATTTATTTTATTTCTATTATATAACTTTTATTAGTCTCTATTATATATTTTTATGCAACTATTGTGAGCCTAATTTTTGGGATTGCAACATCTGAATTGAGACAATGATTCATACTCAATCCAAGATCATACAAAAAATAATAGAAATATTACTTCTCTTATTTCTGTTACTTATGCTACTTCTGTTACTTATAAAATAAATGAAATATCAACCTTTTATTAGATTTATTAAATAGAATTAAGATATAAGGGATATTATATTTATGTTAAAAATTAATTACCAATGTAAATAAAATATTTATTATAAATAAAGGACATTTTTGTCTAGAGAAAGAAGAGAATCATCCTATATACCAATAATTTCCTAATAGCACTATATATCTGACCTCTAAAAGTAAAAGTATTACCCTATACAAAACTAATAAATTGTTATTAATCCTGTTGTTAACTCTATTGTTAATTCTCCTATACACACCTAAATCTGCATTTTGTTTGTTTGCTGTAAGTTACCTAACCAAGCTGTTAATGCAAAAGAACACAAACCTAATTTGACATATTGTAACTCTATGTTAAGGAAGTAAAGATAATACAAGAGAAGACAAAGGTTAATAGAAGTACAGATTGAAAAAAAAGTTAGAAGAGTAGTACTTACCTACAGATAAACCACCCACCAAATCTAACATGCCTATTTTGACTTAGTTATTATAGGTTATATAAGAGTTGAATTAGAGTAGCAACTGAATTGCCAATTCCTGAATTATATTTGGTAGTGACTGTTAGATATAAAAAGAAGAAAGACTTGAGTTAGTAAAGTGTATATTTTAACACAAGGTTAAATAAAAAAGAATACTTATCAAAAAAAAATCCTACAGCTTCATATTTCAAGAAGACTCCAGAATAGTAAGAAGCCTTAAAATAGTATAAAAAGAAAGACTTAGTATTTGAACAATAATAAAAGAAAAAATATAAGAGTTAGTAAAGATCTAAGTATAAAAGAATTAGAAGAAAAATGTGCAAAGCTAACCATAATACTTATCTAAGAACAAGCTATGAGATTATTGATAAAAAATTCTAAAATCATAAAATCAAAAATAAACAAATTCTGAAGGCTCTAGAATTTGTTTTAAAAGTATTAGAAAACATAACTATAAACAATAAAAAAAATATCATATACATACCCACAAATATAAATATTAGCTCTGGTCCAACAATACAAAAGAATGAGCCCAAAAGAAATAAAGAGAGAAAAGTAATAGTATCTGAAGTTCTTGATACCTATTATGACTCTAATGAACCTGTAAAAAAGTCTCTTGATAGTGCTGTCTTTGGCTTTAAAAAAGAAATAGCCAACTTAAACCTCCTTCTTTAACAGCTAATTGCTAAATATAAAGCTCTTGCACAAAGATAAATCTTAGAAGAAATCATTTAAGAACCCATGCAAAAAATTGACTTGGCCAAGGTAGAATTTAAAAAAAATATAGATTCAATGTTTGATCCTATTCAAAAATTTGCTGATATGGATCATTCTAATGAAATGAATAATACTGATAATTGTTATCATAATAAAATCAAAATCAAAAAAGATAACTATAAGGCCTGTGGACAGTGTTATTGAAATAAAATTGAAGCTAAAAAGAATAACCAAAAAGCCTTCAAACATCATCAAAAATCTACAAAGATAGTGAATGTCGATAGAATTAGGAAAGTTTGACATTGTTATCAAAATGGAATTGGAGCTAAAAAGAATAACCAAAAAGCCTTCAAACATCATCAAAAATTTACAGAGATGGTGAATGCTAATAGAACTAGGAAAGTTTAACATTGTTATCAAAATGGAATTAAAACTGAAAAGGATAAATATAAAGCCTTTGGATACTATCAAAAGTCTGCAAAAATAAAAAATGCCAATGCAACATATTATGTTGAATCTTGTTATTAAAATGGAATTTAAGTTCTAAATAATGAATATAAAGTGTTTAAATACTTTCAAAGAGCCACTAACATATATCATATAGAAAAAAACCTTAATAACAGCTATTGCTATAAAATAAAATTAAATTAAAAAGAATAGCTGTTCAGCATTAAATAATAATGATGATGATAGTAAAGTTCATGATAATAATATAATCTGTAATGAAGACAACAATGGAACTAAGATCAAAAAAGATACAGATCAAGAACCATCAAATAACTCATCTTCTAAACTTAAGAGGTTTGAAGTAGCAAATGATCAACTCCTTAATGGGCTCAATCCACCTGACCTCCAAATGACCTATGAAAAATAAATAGATAAATGAGTAAGCACAGAATAATGTACAAAGAAGAATTGAAAAAAAAAGTATTGTAGCTTTCAAAACTTAAAAAACCAACAAACTAATCTAGAAGCAGAAAACTAAAAACAAGGAGAATCAGAAAGTTTGTAGAATATATAGAGGTTTCAAATATGAAAGAAAATTGATCATGTGTGTAGAAATTGAAACTGAACAAAAAGTGCAAATAATAAGGTTAAAGACTAATGTTGAACCTGATGAA